AACAACCTGAAATTTCAATGAGTTGTTCCATTGTTTCAGTCAGAAAAGCTTTTTAGGTCCTGCATTTATGAGAAGGGTTGATAAAAATGAGCCCTGGTATCTATCTGCTCATTTATCTTGGACTTAGGAAAGTACTAGGAAGCAGCCAAGATGTAATAAATTTAAAGGAAGAAATCATGGCCAGTCAAGTGGTTCAGGAAGGGAAGTCTTGGCTTTCTCACCACAGGCTGTGAAACAAAAATAGATATCAATACACACCCATCTGCTGGAGGAAACAGTGAAAAATATGTATTATTTATGCAGTACTTCTTTAAATAGGAGTGAGCAGAGAAACTGAACCAAAAGACTTTTTGTGGCAGGTTACAAACATAAGGAATAATACATGCTGTCAAAATTTGCAAACCCACTCACATACAAGCTCTAAGAAGAACTGCTCCTTTCCCCATGTGACACAAAGCAGACCTTGGAATATTATATATTTCTTATTTTCCTCCCTTCCCCCAAAAGCTTTAACCACCAAACCCTACTGCCTCTTGGGAGAGGGCAGAAATCCCACATAATCACAGACCCCCAAAATGTTTATTGATCAGTATCAGCAGAGATGCATTGCAGGAAAAGCCTCCTTAACCAAGCACATATTTCGAATAAGGCAATAGTCAAATCCCCACATTTTAATTTGAATTTAGGTAATTAACACCACATTACTTAAAAACCTAAAAACTCCACACAAAGCAGTGTCTAGCCAATACAGAGATCAGAAGACACTTATTGTACAAGTGTTTAGTAGAGAAAAACATGTTCTGCGTAGCAACCACAGGCACTCCTGGCCATCCAGAGGAGGAATCTAACACTAGAAATGTCAGTAAGCAACTTATGCCACTGTGCCTCAGATACAAAGGCCTAGTCACTGGGCAAGCAAAAATTATATAAAAAATAGTTATTGAAGGAATATTCAGAAAACCAGATGCAATTAGCTTGCGTCCCTTTGTAACTTTAAATAAAGATTGCTCCTGGCTAGGTGGGTTCTGTGCTTGGACTTATTTATAAGCTGTTTTCTCACCCAGTTTATGTACAGGAAAAGAGAGAAGACACTGAAAGCAATTTACCATTTTGATGTTATTGAAATAGGAACTCAATGTGGTACTAAAGTATGTGATGGTCCTGAATCCAAGGTCAGACAGGGTTGTCTGAAGAAAATGGTTATCTAAACAAAGCACTGCCAGCAAGATGGCTTTTTCATTTTTATCCTTTTCTTATTCGAATGAAATTTTTTCTGCCACTATAACTAGCTGAGTTAATTCAAACAGTTCCATTTTTTTTTAATGTACTGGACAATTTATTGTGAAGTATGAGCTAAGACTAAGAATCTCCTCCAAGAAAATGTGTCAATGAGTAGATTTCTGGCCTTAGAGAAGTTACCTGCCATATTAGGCAGCCAAAGGAGGTTTAAGGAAGGACTGTCATGCCCATCTTGCAGATGAACCTCAGTGTGAGGAAACCAAGAGTCTTGCTCTGTGGATCTGCCTCTCAGAAGGATGTTTCTCACTGCTGCTTCAGTACTGAAATGAAATGGCTTTTCCTCTCTGGTTCTGATCCAGAAAAGATCAGCCAGCACCTCAGGTCTGCAATAGTATTGCTGACTGCAATAATCTACATGAAATGGGCTTACCAGTTCGAGGAGAAAGAAGACCAAAGTACATGAAGGTGATGTGTTTCCCTCACCCCAATTTTCCCTAAATCTAGAATATGCATATTTACCAATTTGAAAATCACAGTGATTCACTCCTCCCTTGACCCTAGCACTTGATTTCTTTTTCCCTTCTTCCATTATCTTCAAAGTTCACTGCACACATGGAAGACTGCACCCAAGGGACACCAACCAAGTGCCAAAGTGGGGAAGCCAGTAACCTCACCTTGAAAATGTTAGCAACATACTGCTTTGCAATAATCCATCTTCAGGACACCTGGGTGACAGACTGTCCCAGGTTCCATTTATGCAGATGTTCCCAGTGCATATAAACAGGGTTTCCAAGCTGATGGCTACCTCCAGGTGTAATGGCATGTTTCCTTACAGTGTGTAAAAGCTAAAACCTTTGATGAACAGACACTACTGGAACCAGCAAGACCACAGGCTAGAAGCTCTGTTCAGGCAGCTGCCCAGAGACAGTGAGTCTGTCCTTGCTGCTCTCTGAAAAATGAACAGATTATGCAGAGAACACGAGGCTATGGTGTATCTGCACATGCACAAACAGCTCCTGCTTTCAGCCAAACTCTGAGGAAAAAAGCAAACCAGCCAAACAAATATTCCTGTATTTCAGAGAGCAGCAGCCACTCCACTTTTCTGCCATGTACTGGCTGTGCAGCAGGGGGATAAATGCCAGGACCATACATAGTTATCCAAGCACCCCACTAGCTGAGACATTTGTCTTCATGCAGGAGGGCCCATGGTCAAACTTCTCCTCCTAGTTCATCTCAGTATCAGACAGGAAAAGAGCTTTCTGTGCACAGGCCCCTGGGTTATTTGCTGAATAAAATTCTTTCTCATTAGCAGGCCAAAACCCAAGAAACAGCCACTGGAACAAATAAGGTTCTGTGCAAATATAATCCCCACCTCACAACCAGGGAATTAAAGCCAAGAATTAGGCTGTAGCCATTCCCTTTCAGCACAGTGAATGCTTAAGCAGGTTACAGCTTTGCACTGTGGATGTTTTCTGGGGAGAAGAAAGAACAACTGCTTTACCAGCCCAGCTTGCTGCTCTTAGTCGAACAAGCCTAGGGATTATTTTTTGACAAAACACTTAAGAACAATTACTGCATGTCAGTATGTTTTAAGTGTCAACCTCAAGGATTGATGAAAGTGCTGGTATTTCTTCAGCCTGCTCTTTTCCCATCAGTGGTATTTGTGATGTGCAGGAGAAAGGGCCTGGCTAACATGGAAGCTAACAGAACCTTCTCATTGCTGCTGCAGCAAAAATTCATACAGGTGCCTGCAAAAGAACGGTTCTCATTTCCCACAAGGATGTTCTGTGCCCAAACCACAGCCACAGGAAGGTACTGTGGGCACTGTGACTTTCAGCACCAAGCTCAGGTGGCAGAGAGAGCCAAGGTAACAGAAGATCCAGAGAGGACTGGTGCTTTGAATTGCAGCAGCACTGCCTGGTTCACAGAGATAACCTGGACAGCTTCTTGAGGACAGTGGTTGTAGCAGACCTGGGATTTGCTCTGAGCACAACCAGTGGTGCACAGTGCAACAGTCCCTCAATACAGATGAGCAAGACCAGTGCTTGAGCTCACCTTTGTTTCAAGCCAGTGTAACTTCCAGAGAGATAAAACAGCACTGTGGCTGCTGGAGAGTCTAGAGGGGTGGTTGCACTTCAGCTTGTCACCAGTGACTAAGTTGAAAAATCTGTGTCATCCCAACTGGGCAGAGAAACGAGTGCCATGGATGTCAGACACAGACATGATGCTGGAGATGAGCATCCCCCTGGTACATCCCACCTGCAGCTTCAGTGACACAGACTCCCTCCAAAGAATCAGAATCTCTGGGTTTCTTGCTGTGCCACGTGCTGTGCCCCTTGGAAAATAACCCAGAAACTTTCTCCTCCTTTAGTGAGCCTTCACTTAAAATAAAGCTGTTAGAGGGAGGCTCTGCATCCTACTGTCATGGCAAAACCAAATTAGAATTGATTTTCCTCAGCTGACACTGATAACAAAAAAGCTGATACTACCAATAGTAGTAAAATTCTTGTGCATGTGCCCCTTAAAAAAATACAAGAGACATTGACAGCAGAACCCTATGTCATCTCTTCTGGGATCAAAAGTACATGGCATAGACTTTCAATCAAACCTCAAAACTCCCAAATTATAAACAGATATAGCTGTAAAGATCCAGTCAGCATTCTCAACCTAGTGATTAATTTGCTAAAATCTTCAGGTACCACTGTACTGGTTTAAAATGTGGCTTGTTCTATCATGTTTGTGAGTATTCCTGAAGCAGAAAAGGGCCAACTTCAGCAAGGTTACTGATCATAAAATTCTGTACTAAATAAAGATGGTGTAGTTTTAAATTTTCTCCTTGTAGTTTGGATATCACAAAATCTTTGAGTATTACAGTGTCACAAGAAGGTTCTCAAGAGTTAAGTCCTATTCAGGAATGAAATCCTCTTTTTTCATATTTTAACGAATTTTCTCTGACCTCAGAATGTGTAGACTTTGAATTCCAAACACAGAAAGAGTAACTGAACAAAAATAATAATAACAGCTGCCCAACACGTCCTCATTCCCTCATCTCAACAACACCGTACCAAACAAAACCTCCACACATGACAAAGGTTATTACAAACTATTTCCATCTACAAAGCCAAACCATTCTCTACATCAGCTCTTGCATGATGCCAAGAATCTGCAGCTCTCAAGCACATGCCAACCACCTTCTGTGACACACAACCAGCTCCACCTTTGACCCCTTCAGCCACCCCAGGTGAAGATGGCACACTTAGTACAGGGAGAGCTGGGTGTAAAAGGGGATAGATCAGAGCTTACAGAGATGAGCCAAAGGAGCCCAGTCACAGCTCCACAGCATTGTGCAGGCTGTAGGGATGATGCAAACAAGTGCTCTTTTCAAAGACAGAGGTTGACAGAAGCTGGAAATGCAAGATGTGGTATACTTATGGAGGTTTGGGGACACAGGCCAGCTCATTTTAATACAATTGTATGCAGAGGGTTTTGCTTTTTCAAACCTGCTTAAACTACTCTTTAAGACTTGTGTGTTATCCTCTCCCAGCATCCAAATATATTCATATTCCCTGTCTGAATTGCCTTGCTCAGCGTAGCAGCACAGACAGTGTGCTTAAGTGATCAAAGCACCTTTCAGAGCTGTACTACCAGCACTTACAGACAGACTTGTTTTACAAACATTTTGGTTTGCAGACTCAGTGAGATGACATGTTTTCCTCATCCACCCCATGCTGGATACCGAAGTGGCACGTGCTGACACTTACCTAGGAAGCCCTCTTCATCCACAATGATGGTGTAGTCCTCAGGGGTTTCTGTGAGGCTGAAGAATTTGCACCTGGCAAAAGTAAACAGCAGGAGAACATGATTAGCATCTGCACTGAGCAAAGCCTTGTCTACCACCTAAAATGGAAATCCTTTCCCATCCAAGCTGTGCTGAAGGAAAGAGTCACAGTCCGATGTTTATGGAGAGGCCTGAGGCATTAACAGACCTGGATTTTATTTCTGGGTAGCTCATACTGTGCGACCCATATTCCCTGCTGCCTGCCTATGCACAATGAAGCTGGTAAAACTCTTATTATTTGTATTACTTAGTTCTTAGTTACTTTTCTTAATTGTCATATCCCTTAAGGCTTCACATCCAGGACCTGCTGTGTTGCACCGATACAGAGCAAAAAGCTTTGCTCACTGACTGCTCACTCCAGCACCCTCCAAAAGTGTTTCTATGGTTCACACATGCACCTTTTTGCCCACTGAAGTTTCTTGCCCTATCAAGGTTGGACATCTAACCTCTCAACCAAGCCCCAGTATCTCTTGCTCCTTCAGAGGCTTTTGCCACCAGCAGACAGCATCCCAATTTCCTGTGCTGGTCCTCTCTCCCTCCTGGGGTGCTCTTGGTGAAGAAGAGTGGTAGCAGCCATGAAGCCAATGGAAACAAGGCTGAGCTTTCCCCCTGCCTGATCTCCTGTGGCCTCTGTTCTGCTCCATCTTCTGACACCACAGGCCATGTGCAGTGCAGCAGCCCCAGCCCATTCCCCATTTAACACAATGTCACCTCTGACAGGAGATACAAATCAAATGTGACGTGGGATTCTTCTTCCACTGCAGACATACAAACAAAAAAAGCTTCAGCCTTAAGGCTTAACACCATATATAGTTGAAAAGGTTTTTTGTCCCCTGACACACCAACATATGTACATCAACATCTACTGAAAAAACCCCAGCTTCTATCTAGCTGGTCCCTAGCAATAGCAGGAAGGTTAGCATGACATTTTGCAAGCTCATGTTCACCTTCAGCAGAGCATCAGCATAGTGCTGGCCAGCATCCTCGACACCCACAGCTCTCCTGGGCCTCCAGGAGAATGCCAGAGCATGTGGACTGACTGTGTTTCTTGCCTAAGACCAAGAGAAATTTTTCCTTATAAATTGGGTGCAGCAGGAAGAGCATGTGTCTCTAAGAACCAAAGAGCAGGATTTCACTGTTACACTACAATACTCTCAAAGTTATCTGAGATACCTACAGAAAATATTTTAAATACTAGAAAAAAAGAGATTGTTCTCCAGGCTTCCAAATTTCACAGCATCTTCACAGGGTAATTTCTGCATGAAGCACAGTTCAGCAGGATTCAAGATCCAGGGACTACCAGGGCTTCTCAGCACTGCTGAGCATCTGTGTCCAAAAGTCTTCAAGACTTCTGAAAATCTGGAACCCCATACTGGTGGCTCAACATCAAAAAAAAAATGAAAGCATTCGCTTCATAAAAAATCAGATGAAAACCTGGCTTCAGCATTTTTTGACTGGCTGAAAAGAACAAACATAGCAGCTACCCCCTCCAAAAGCAACAGGGAGAAAAATGAGATGGATGCTGCCCTCCTCATCACCTCATCAGAAAACTGAGAGGAAACAACACACAGTTCAATTAGTGGTCTGCCATGTAACCAACAGGATTTCGTGTACATGGAAAGCATCAGACAACCTGCCTTTAGAGACCTGTCCCGTTTTCCTGGAAGAATCCATCACAACAATCAAGCATAACACTCCCTCCTAGCACAGACATATCATTACAAAATACAGACATGGCCCCACCACAACAGAAACCACAACTTAATTATTTTATGTCATTGGTAATAGCTGCTGTGACAGCCACATTTGCCAACTTAACTCTCTCCAGGAATAGTGCCAAAAAAAGCAGGAAATAGCAGCAGTTAAATTTTTTTACCATCACTTCTAAACTGCATGAGACACAAGCTGGGCAAAAAGGACTTCTGGGATATTGCTTCAGGTGGGTTCCAGGAGGCAGAAGTGCTTGTTACAGTGGATGAATTCCCTAGAGAAGTCACTGAAATAAAACTCTTTGCTACTACTGCCTGACTGAGTCACATGCATACTGAGTAGGGAGAAACTAGAGGTCCTAAAGGAGAAAACATTAATATTAAAAACCTAACCTTTTCTGATCTGTGATGGCATTTATGGAAGAATTTTTTACTAGAACAGTAATAGTGTCTGTGTGCACACACTGACCCCAGCAGAAGAATGATTGTCACAGATGCCAGTTTCTGGGCACACATCTAAATATGCTAATATTTAAGGGATATGTACACATGAAATCCCATAATTGCTGCCTCAGAACTCATGTCAAAACCTCATATCTCCATATACCCCCTCAAAGCCCAATACCCAAGTCAGTTAAATTCTGTAAAAGGTCAGGGCCACAGAGCCACCTGAATTTAAGTGCAAAGTCTTTCCCCAGCACAGAGAAGACTGGTAGTTCTTGCAATATACATTCCCTTAGTTCAAGCCAATGATGCAGTCTTTTCCCAGAGGAAATCTAAACATGAAAAATTGGAATTGCAAACTTTGTGTGATAGGAAAAAGGAACTCAGTGTCATCTCTCTCTCCCGCATTACACTACACATGCCTCTTCCATTCGAGTTATTTCAATAATTTATATTTCACTTAAACCAGTCTTTGATAAGCTGAATGCCAACAGCATCACACCAAAGCCAAGAAAGGAAAAGAAATGCCCTTTAATAATTTTGAGACATCAGACAAACAGTATTTCTCTTAAGTACATGTGGAAACCCTATATGTAGGAAGACAGTAGTTTTAGTTTCCTAATAGACAAACCTTAGAAGGATTATTTTGGATTTCTGCCTTCTCAGTGTTTAAGCACATTTTCACTTAAGCACTGTTGCTGACTTTGACTGCCTGACAACATATGCCTTTTTCTGGCAATGCCACAAATGTAGACCAGTCTATTATTAGATTAGATCTTTTAAACTGCAAAGCTTACACTGTGTATGGAAGAAATTCTCAAGCTTGCACAGAGCATGAAAGTGCCTACGGGATGCAGCAACAGCATCATTTCAGTTTGCAAACAGTACTCCAGTCTCCATGGGAGAAGGGAGCAGGAGTGTGGAGTGCTTGGCTGTGCTTGCAGGTCCACTCCAGAAGTGTCTCCTCCAGACATTTGCTCTTCTAGGTCTGCTGAGATCACAGGAGTGGCAATACTGGGATGAACGTGACTTCTATTTGCTCTGGGTCACACACAGAGCACACGTTTCTGGGAATAGTGCTGTGGGTCATCTGGAATTTCAGTACAGACAATGGTCTTTAAGGAAGACCACAAGTCCTACCTCCTTATTTATAAAGAAACTGCTTAATTAATTGTTATCTCAGCAGGGTGGAGTGTTACAAAACTGCTTGCCCTATGGAAAAGATTCATTCCAGAAGCACGTGGGCAGCTGGTCTCCCCACATGTAGGAAACCATGGCCAAATGCCATTCAAGGCAGTCGAATACCAGGTCTGGAAGTAACACAAAAGTTTGCAAAGAAGCAGTTTAACTGAATAGAAATCTAGAAGCAGCAGCAGCAAGTTCATCAGTGTGAATATGAAAGACAGAATTTGTTGGGATTTGTTCCAGGCTGTGTTCCCATTTGAGATGAGGAGAGGTTTGTACACTTTACTCTGTATGTTATCATGACTATATACATTCTTACTACCGAATAAGACACGTGCTAATCATCTAATTCTTGGTGATCCTTTTTGCAGTTTTTAAATAATGACAAGAGGAAGATTCAATGCAACATCTTGTGAGACACATTTGGAAAGCAGTAAAGGACACCTGTGCTGTTAATGACATAGAGGGCAGAGAGGACTGTTAAAGGGTGGGCAACTCCTGCTGAGCACTCCCTGCCTCTCCAGTTCTCCTCATCCCGCGGATGGGGTCCCACAGTCCCAGCTGGTGCAGTGTTGCTGTCAGGGCACTGGTGTGGTAGCAATCACTACCTGCTGCTCTTCCACCCTCAGCAGTTGTAGTGCAGAAGGGTCCTCTGAGAGACCAGGCAAGGTATCCAGCTGCCTAATTTCCTCTGTCTCCACAGCAGCTCTCCCAAAAGCCCATCAATGCCCTTTTGGGTCCTTGACATACCCTCTCGTGAGGCCATTTATGCCAAGGATACATGGACTCTCTGGGCCAGGCACAATGGGCTGGTTTTGCCATTCATTTCCAGTCAGGCTCACTTCAGCTTCCAGCACAGTCAGCTGTTGGGATCCTCCTGTCACTGCAGAAATTGGGGTGGATTTTGCCCCTACATATCTTGATGGAATTGGAGAACACTGCAGCAGTGCCAACTAAAGCTTTATGTGCTTGTGGCTCTGATGTGCCATGGATCCACACTGTCCAGCAGATCTGATGGTCCCTTTCCTCCACCTGGCTGGAGGCAGGGTCCCTCTACTTCTGGCCATAGTACTCCATGCTCACTTCTTGTAAATGTGAACTGGAGGTCCCTTCAAGAGGATCAGAAGCAACATCATCCCTCCTATTGCCTCTGAGGACTTCCCCACAGGAGACATTTCTGCAGCTTCTGCCAGGGCAGTGCAGAGCTGCACAACACTATCAGGGTGCTGTGCAGCTCCACAAAGCCATGAGACCGGTAAGAAAACCATCTGCTGCTCTTTATGTCAAAATGAAATACTTGGAACCTCAATACTAGTATAAAGTGAATTTAAGGCAAGCTCAGGCAGAAGGTGAACCACAGCACAAGAGAAAATGCAGATGCACATATCATCTGCAGCAGGACATGAGTCTCTTCAGGAACCAAAGCAGCACAGCATTGCCAGCAGCAAGGGATAGCAAGGGCTTTAAACTTTAAACTGGACCAGTCATGGGCATCCTTAGCACTGCTGAGGTGCTTCCTATGCTACACTGACCTACTATAAAACCATTAGTGGGGAAGGACAAAGACACATCCTCTTAGCCCAGAGCACTTGGGGGAGAACAGAAAACTGTTCAGAAGGTCTGTCAGCACATTCTCCTCTGAGAACATAAACCCTG